TCATCTTAGTTCACGTGGTAAATATCATAGTGTATATTTTTGAATAACTGGTTTAAGGAAAAATTAATATTTCTTTTATCAAATTTTTCGGTAATCTATCTATCTATATTTCTCATGTTGTCTGTCTGTGTGTCTGTCGTGGGCGTTGTTACCTCGCCCAGGCCGCATTTCTCACCCGATTTCGATGCGGTTTTCAACACAAGTTTGCAAATGGCTGCCGTAAGGACATGACGGAGCCCGATTTTTGAGTTCGGAATCAGGTTCCGAAAAAATCGATAATCGAAAAAATCGATAATCGAAAAAATTCTGCTTACAGAAGGAATGATCGCATTTCAACCAAATTTGACTCCCTCTTAGAGTCTACCATTAGAAGTGTTGTCCAGAAGTTTCATGACCACGGACCCCTAAACAGCGCGGAAAATCGATAAAACCCAAAAACCGATACGCCCAGATTGCGTCTGAACCTCATGTCGGTTTTTAGCGAAAACCGAGCGGATTTATGAAGAGGCCATTGGGAGTCATCCGGTGAAGTTTCAACTCTGAGCACCCCCAAACAGAGTGCAAATCGACAATCGGTCAACCCTTAAAAATGTTTTTTTTCCGGTTTTTTAAAGCTGATCGTATTGTTTATTTTGTTTAGTTCTTTTTTCGTAACAGATTTAATGTTTACTATAGAGCTTAGAAAAAGTTGGCAGTGTGAGATAGGCAAGAAGTAAGGCATGTAACAACATCAGCACGGCAAAGGGCACTCCTCTAAAGGCAAGGAAGGGCAAAAATATTTTAAGTCAAGTGATAGCGATTGCTGTATTAGTCGTACTATTTTTGAATCAAGCACGGGCAACGCTGGGTCATGCTGCTGGTGCTAAATAAAGTTCATACTGTTCGTTTATAATACTTCATCAGGGAGTTTTCATTCACACACACAAAAATTCTAAACTCGAACGTAAAAAATAAACATGAGTAACTAATATCATATACCTATAATATATATGTAAACAGAATGAAAACAGATAATTGCTGCATCAGTTTTTTTTATAGGTACTTCTGTAAAAATAAAGAAAAAGCAAAGAAGTAAGTAACTTTAAGTACAGGTCCCGTTCGCTGAGTGGGCCCTGACTAGTGAAGGTGTTTTTCACACTGGCACCATAAAGACATCACTAAATATATTCCCAATAATTGTTATATTTTTAATGACATAATAAGTTAGACAGGATGATGTCTATATTACAATATTACAATAACCAAGAATATATTGTGTCTGTTTAGTAATATTACGTATATGAAATTAAGTAAAAAGTCAAAAGTGCATTAGCTTATCTCACCTGTTACCGCGGAACCCTTGGGGACCTTTTGAGGAACCTTATAATTCTGGGGGACCCCGGCTGAGAAATGCTGCCTTAACATGATCAAAGGCTGGGCTGTCTATCTTCAAAGTCCAGTAGTAATCAGTCATCATGACTGCATCCCAGCGTCTCTGATACCTAGTCTCCGTCTCTTTCATGTCCTGATGGAATCTCTCCCCCCTGTTTTTTTACTCATTGATCCCAGATTCTCAGGAAACTGATCCATATGTGAGAATAAATAATGCATTTCGATGCGCATATTGCGTCCGAGGTTTCTGAAAGCAGTCAGCATATTGATGACAAGTTCTGCGTAGTTCTTGGCCTTGTTGTTGTCAAGAAAATTCTTCACGACCAGAACAAAAACCTTTTATGCTTCCAGTTCCACGTCACATATTGAGTTTTCAGAATCTGAATCTCTGATGAGTTGACGGACCATCAAAGATGCCAGCTTTCAACTTCTCTATCGTCAATCCTTGAAAAGCCTGGCACAAATAATTGAAACAGCCATCATCTTTGTCCAGAGCTTTGGTGAATGGCTTGATCAAGCCGAGATTGATCTGCAGCGATGGGAAAAGTATCCTGTCTCTGTCCACCAGAGGCTTATTGATGACGTTTGTTGCTCTGCGAGGCACCAATTCCTCCCGAACAGGCCACTGAGCTGTGTCCCTACTATCCCAGATACACAGAAAGCATGGGTACTTCATGAACCCGGACTGTTTTCTCAACCAATAGTTCACCATCTTCAGGTCAACCACACATGTTATTCATAATGAATTTTACACATACTTCACTGCATCATATTTCTCTTTAAATGTAGTCAGGTGAGTGTGGGGAGGTAGACAGGCAAACTGGTTGCCATTGTGAAGAAGAAAACTTTTCAATGATCGCTTGCTGCTACCAATGAACAGTCCCCAATGTTTGGTTTCGTACGATGTCTAAAGGCAGTCACTTTGAGCTTTAGTCAATGCAAGCAAACGAGATCTTGAATATCAGCCGTTAGAGTGACATGGCCCTTAGGGGAAACTGGGGGACTCTGTCGCTGAGGTCAAACATCGTGGCTTTTATACCGTTATTCCTGAGAAATTAGCTGAATTATATAATTATACAATTTACTTATTCCTAATTTGCCCTAAAAAGTCACGTGGTATGCTTACTACTACGTCGGCGCAATATCTTGGTGGTATGCCTAAATTATAATGCGTAATAAAACAACCTTTCTGATTTGTATGGTTTTGTATCGTATAGATAGTTCAATTGGTGTGTTTTGAAAAGTAAGAATTTTATTGCGTGTTATTGGTTTATAAATATTTTGGAGGCGTGTTTTAATATTTATGAAGCTATATTTGGCTGAAACAACTTCTGATGTGTTAAAATTAATAAGTTTATAATTAACGTAATAATTAGTTTTATTGTGTGAAATATGTTGCATATTTAGATATTTTAATGGACATGACAATGTAAACATAAACGTAAAAAAAGAATCTGGCCATAGCTCAAAAAGATGACCTAATTGAGCAAAACCAATGCGATTTTTGGATTCAGCACATCAAAATTGTTCTAAATCAATTAAAAATATTTAGACAATAGATTTCATGTTGACCAGTGTTATCATTTTTGTATGCTTTATTAGTCGGATCAGCATTGTCATCTTGATTACTATAATCACAACCTTTTGGCTTGCATCGATTTGATAATTTATGTTGGAATTTTTGAGACGAGGAATTAGCAATTGAGAAAAATCAATGAAGTGACGTTTGGACTTGAATTTCTATGACATCGCTAACTTTCGGCAAAGTACACTGTAATAATATGTTCGAGATGACAAAATAGAAAAACAAAATCTATGTTACGCATTTCGTCCTATAAAATGACTTCTTAAACTAACAATGGCTCTATCGATAGAGCCTTATATATTCCGAGGAAGGGAGATACGCAACAAACGACGCTGAAGATACAGGGACACTTAGCTTTAAATTTTTAACGTTACGGCGTCCAATGTATCCAAATGTATAATCTAGTTAGCTTCATTCAGCTTTCTATCGATTTTCTTTTTCTTTTCATGGCTATTGTTTTTTTTAATGATTATCGAGTCCATTAAAAATAAATAAATAAAAATCAATTATACTGTCGCAAATAATTGTAATAAAATAATTATAACAATTATAATTATCATTAATACGATTCGCTCTTTCTAAACTAATAACAATCAACCCCATTCTTCTCCTCTACCACGCACAAACACGTGACATTCTCACTCTCGAAGAAGCAGTTCACACAAATAGGTCGTCAAAACGTGCGTCAACAAAAATTTCATCTCCTTTTCCTTTTCCATTCCATAGTAATAGGTAGACAAGGGTAGGCCCAAAATTTTCTTTTCCGGCCACAACGACATTTGACCCTTTTTAAAACTCATAACCAAAATTTGATGTAAGAAAACTTCAAACTTCTTTTTTTTTCCAACTGAATTATATAGACACTCTCTACACACAAATAAAAAAAACACGTACAAGAAAGGCTATATACCATTTAGTCAGTATTATTGTCCCTCATGTTGCTAACAGCACATAACTAAAAGTATCAACTCGATAATAAATAATAATTGTTTTGTTATTTCCACGTCTTGATATTTCTCATTTTTTACAGGCATTTTTGTATCTAAAGTGTGTTTCATTTACGTATTATATATAAGAGTGTTTCATTAAGACGGATCAAAGTCAGCAGTAAATAAATCAGTGTTACTGGTGAGAATATATTTCTTTCTTTATTAGATCATGTTATTTAAGTCATGGCAATTATGTGTGAAAAATAATATCACCCAAATGTCCGCCAAATCTGAAAGAAAAAGAAAAATCATTAGAGGGTTAAGCTTAATTCACATTTAAAATCGGTCCAAGTTATTGGAACACCCTACTCACGCACACGCGCACACGCGCACACACACACACACACACACACACACACACACATATATATATATATATATATATATATAAGTGGACATTGAAGTCAACACTCAGAGGCGACAGGCTGTTTCATGCTAGACGCAATCGTCAGGCCGACTGAAAGAAAAGACAATTTTAAACAATATTTCGACAGTATGTTCGTCTTTTTCAATTTTTTTTAATAAACTTGAAGAAGACAGACATACTGTCGAAATATTGTTTAACATTATTAAAAGCAGTGTTTTTTATTTTCTTTTTCTTAAATCGCGCTTTTTTTTAACTGTTGAAAAATATTGGTTACGTTAATCAATTTGTCTTTCATTATTATTATTTGGGTTACTTAATAATAAAAGCGATAAAAAATAAACAAAACGAATCTAAATGAAACTGACTCGATTATATTATACCTAAACATATTAAACACATTATTATATACCTAAACATATTAAACACATTATTATATACCTAAACACATTAAACACATTATGTTATACCTAAACACATTAAAAGAATAATTTAAAAGTTTAAAATATCAGCGTCTCCTCTTCTTCATGCGCATGTGTAGTTACATCAACGTAAACATCATTTTAGTCCGATGAAATCCTAAAGGGCAAAACACAACACACGAAAAGTTTTTTTTCCACTTTGTCATTGATGTTCCTAACACTGTTAAAATATTTAAAAAATTATATATCATTTTCTCCTCCACCAGACTATGCTCTCTCTCTCTCTCTCTCTCTCTCTCTCTCTCTCTCTCTCTCTCTCTTGGAAACTGTAACTATGGCCTGCTTACAATAGTGGCAGTATAACCCACATGTTGGCTTTGTGGGTTTTGAAAAAATACAAATATGCCTGAGCTGGCATCTGCAACAGGGATTAGCTTATAATCCTCGTATAATCTGATACGAGCAGCTATTTACGTATGTTATTTATGTCTCCTAAATGTTCGAATCCTGGATAGACACTTGAAAAAATCGTTCGAATTGCGGTTGCAGCTTTCAGACTATATTTGAGAAAAGCATGAATCTATCTCCCTGTGTTTTGCCATGTTACCAGCTACTTCATTGACATTAGATGGTAGAGAAGAAAACGTAGTTTGAGTGGCTATATGGGAAAGATAATTCTTCAGAATTACTCACAGTAGCTGCTATATTCATTATGAGTTACATCAGATAGAAGTGTTTTAAATATAGATTTTTTACAGTGATGTTCCCTCTCTACAAGCCCCGGGTGCCACTCGAGGTAGAGGGTTACAGATATGTGAGGAAGGTAATGGTTAATCCCAGACTTGAAGAGGCCAAGATTGTATTGATCGGGAAAACACGCTATTGAGAGAGCCAGTTCCACAGAACAGCGATTCGCGAGAAGAAGCTACTCAAGTGGAACTTTCATCTCACAAATGGAATATAAAGGGAATGGTGATGGTTTGCTACAATGTGTGTAGCATGTCGGCTCCTAGCCGTGAAGGTTGGACTGGTGGAACTCGGGAATGTAGATCGTCTAAGCATTTTCCATGGATAGACCAATGAGAGAATTGCAACGTTTTGTCTGTGGGAAAGGAATTGTAGGATGGGAAATAATTCATCACCCACAAGGACGCAGTGACTCTTTTGGATTCTATCGAGACACGAAAGTGAAGACTTGGCAGCTCCTGCCCTTATAAGACAGCAGTAATTCATTTTCGGCCTGATCTGGACCATGTAAAGGTAGAGGATATCAGGAGGAGCAAGGCACAGAGGACCGACAATTTTTCCAGGATCTTTAATGATTGATCATATGGACGAATTTCACTTGTGGTCTGGATTGACTTTAGGTGCAAATAGGCGTCCATCGAGACCGCTGCAAGTTCTGGGTCTGTTCGGGGACGAAGTCTCAAGTTTTGAACCTTATTTTAGCTTAGATATAACTCTGGTTGAGTTTAAACACCAAAAGGTGTTCATCGAAACTGGTTCAAGTTCTGGGTCTGTTCGGGGACGAATTCTCAAGTTTTGAAACTTATTTTAGCTTAGATATAACCCTGGCTGAGTTTAAAGCCCAAAAGTTGTTCATCGAGACTGGTTCATGTTCTGAGTCTGTTCGGGGACGAATTCTCATGTTTTGAAACTTATTTTAGCTTAGATATAACCCTGGTTGAGTTTAAAGCCCAAAAGGTGTTCATCGAGACTGGTTCAAGTTCTGGGTCTGTTCGGTGACGAATTCTCAAGTTTTGAAACTTATTTTAGCTTAGATATAACCTTGGTTGAGTTTAAAGCCCCAAAAGGTGTTCATCGAGATTGGTTCAAGTTCGGGGTCTGTTCGGGGACGAATTCTCAAGTTTTGAAATTTATTTTTAGCTTATATATAACCCTGGTTGAGTTGAAAGCCCAAAAGTTGTTCATCGAGACTAGTTCAAGTTCTGGGTCTGTTCGGGGACGAATTCTCAAGTTTTGAACCTTATTTCAGCTTAGATATAACTCTGGTTGAGTTTAAAGCGCAAAAGGTGTTCATCGTGACTGGTTCAAGTTCTGGGTCTGTTCGGGGACGAATGCTCAAGTTTTGAAACTTATTTTAGCTTAGATATAACCATGGTAGAGTTTAAAGCCCAAAAGGTGTTCATCGAGACTGGTTCAATTTCTGGGTTTGTTCGGAGACGAATTCTCAAGTTTTGAAATTTATTTTAGCTTAGATATAACCCTGGTTGAGTTTAAAGCCCAAAGGGTGTTCATCGAGACTTGTTAAAGTTCTGGGTCTGTTCGGGGACGAATTTTCAAGTATTGAACCTTATTTTAGCTTAGATATAACACTGGTAGAGTTTAAAGCCCAAAAGGTGTTCATCGAGACTTGTTCAAGTTCTGGGTCTGTTCGGGGACGAATTCTCAAGTTTTGAAACTTATTTTAGCTTAGATATAACCCTGGTTGAGTTTAAAGACCAATAGATGTTTATCGAGACTGGTTCAATTTCTGGTTCTGTTCGGGGACGAATTCTCAAGTTTTGAAACATTTTATCTTAGATATATCCCTGGTTGAGTTAAAAGCCCAAACGTTGTTCATCGAGACTGGTTCAAGTTATGAGTCAGTTCGGTGACGAATTCTCAAGTTTTGAAGCTTATTTTAGCTTAGATATAACCCTGGTTGAGTTTAAAGTCCAATAAGTGTTCATCGAGACTGGTTCAAGTTCTTGGTCTGTTCGGGGACGAATTCTCAAGCTTTGAAATTTATTTTAGCTTAGATATAACCCTGGTTGACTTTAAAGCCTAAAAGGTGTTCATCGAGAGTGGTTCATGTTCTGGGTCTGTTCGGGGACGAATTCTCAAATTTTGAAACTTATTTTAGCTTAGATATAACCCTGGTTGAGTTTAAAGGCCAATAGGTGTTCATCGAGACTGGTTCAAGTTCTGGGTCTGTTCGGTGACGAATTCTCATGTTTTTAAACTTATTTTAGCTTAGATATAACCCTGGTTGAGTTTAAAGCCCAAAAGTTGATCATCGAGACTGGTTCAAGTTCTGGGTCTGTTCGGGGACGAATTCTCAATTTTTGAAACTTATTTTAGCTTAGATATAACCCTGGTTGAGTTTAAAGCCCAAAAGGTGTTCATCGAGATTGGTTCAAGTTCTGGGTCTGTTCGGGGACGAATTCTCAAGTTTTGAAACTTATTTTTAGCTTATATATAACCCTGGTTGAGTTGAAAGCCCAAAAGTTGTTCATCGAGACTAGTTCAAGTTCTGGGTCTGTTCGGGGACGAATTCTCAAGTTTTGAACCTTATTTTAGCTTAGATATAACTCTGGTTGAGTTTAAACACCAAAAGAGGTTCATCGAAACTGGTTCAAGTTCTGGGTCTGTTCGGGGACGAATTCTCAAGTTTTTAAACTTATTTTAGCTTAGATATAACCCTGGTAGAGTTTAAAGCCCAAAAGGTGTTCATCGAGACTGGTTCAATTTCTGGGTTTGTTCGGAGACGAATTCTCAAGTTTTGAAATTTATTTTAGCTTAGATATAACCCTGGTTGAGTTTAAAGCCCAAAGGGTGTTCATCGAGACTTGTTAAAGTTCTGGGTCTGTTCGGGGACGAATTCTCAAGTATTGAACCTTATTTTAGCTTAGATATAACCCTGGTTGAGTTTAAAGCCCAAAAGGTGTTCATCGAGAGTGGTTCATGTTCTGGGTCTGTTCGGGGACGAATTCTCAAGTTTTGAAACTTATTTTAGCTTAGATATAACCCTGGTTGAGTTTAAAGGCCAATAGGTGTTCATCGAGACTGGTTCAAGTTCTGGGTCTGTTCGGGGACGAATTCTCAAGTTTTGAAACTTATTTTAGCTTAGATATAACCCTGGTTGAGTTTAAAGGCCAATAGGTGTTCATCGAGACTGGTTCAAGTTCTGGGTCTGTTCGGGGACGAATTCTCAAGTTTTGAAACTTATTTTAGCTTAGATATAACCCTGGTTGTGGTTAAAGCCCAAAAGTTGTTCATCGAGACTGGTACAATTTCTTGGTCTGTTCGGAGACGAATTCTCAAGTTTTGAAATTTTTTTTTAGCTTAGATATAACCCTGGTTGAGTTTAAAGCCCAAAAGGTGTTCATCAAGACTTGTTCAAGTTCTGGGTCTGTTCGGGGACAAATTCTCAAGTTTTGAAACTTATTTTAGCTTAGATATAACCCTGGTTGAGTTTAAAGCCCAAAAGGTGTTCATCGAGACTTGTTCAAGTTCTGGCTCTGTTCGGGGACGAATTCTCAAGTTTTGAAACTTATTTTAGCTTAGATATAACCCTGGTTGAGTTTAAAGCCCAATAGATGTTTATCGAGACTGGTTCAATTTCTGGTTCTGTTCGGGGACGAATTCTCAAGTTTTGAAACATTTTATCTTAGATATATCCCTGGTTGGGTTAAAAGCCCAAACGTTGTTCATCGAGACTGGTTCAAGTTATGGGTCTGTTCGGTGACGAATTCTCAAGTTTTGAAGTTTATTTTAGCTTAGATATAACCGTGGTTGAGTTTAAAGTCCAATAAGTGTTCATCGAGACTGGTTCAAGTTCTTGGTCTGTTCGGGGACGAATTCTCAAGCTTTAAAATTTATTTTAGCTTAGATATAACCCTGGTTGAGTTTAAAGCCCAAAAGGTGTTCATCGAGAGTGGTTCATGTTCTGGGTCTGTTCGGGGACGAATTCTCAAATTTTGAAACTTATTTTAGCTTAGATATAACCCTGGTTGAGTTTAAAGGCCAATAGGTGTTCATCGAGACTGGTTCAAGTTCTGGGTCTGTTCGGGGGCGAATTCTCAAGTTTTGAAACTTATTTTAGCTTAGATATAACCCTGGTTGAGTTTAAAGCCCAAAAGTTGTTCATCGAGACTGGTTCAAGTTCTGGGTCTGTTCGGGGACGAATTCTCAAGTGTTGAAACTTATTTTAGCTTAGATATAACCCTGGTTGAGTTTAAAGCCCAAAAGGTGTTCATCGAGATTGGTTCAAGTTCTGGGTCTGTTCGGGGACGAATTCTCAAGTTTTGAAACTTATTTTAGCTTAGATATAACCCTGGTTGAGTTTAAAGCCCAAAAGGTGTTCATCGAGATTGGTTCAAGTTCTGGGTCTGTTCGGGGACGAATTCTCAAGTTTTGAAATTTATTTTTAGCTTATATATAACCCTGGTTGAGTTGAAAGCCCAAAAGTTGTTCATCGAGACTAGTTCAAGTTCTGGGTCTGTTCGGGGACGAATTCTCAAGTTTTGAACCTTATTTTAGCTTAGATATAACTCTGGTGGAGTTTAAAGCGCAAAAGATGTTCATCGTGACTGATTCAAGTTC